GAGGCAGGAGGCAGGAGGATCTCTGTGAGTTCGACCAGCCTGGGCTACACAGTGAGTTCCAGGGCAGTCTGAACTACATAGTGAGACCCTGTCTCAACAAACAAAACAAAACAAAACAAAACAAAAAAACAAAAAACAAAAACAGCAGGGCTGGGGATTTAGCTCAGTGTTGCCGCTGCCTGCCTTGCAAGCGCAAGGACCCCAAGTTCAATCCCCAGTACCATAAATAAATAAATTCACCCACCAAGACTGAAAATCTGTGATTTGTACAGAATACATAGATATAGCTGAAGCTCCAGGAAAGGGCTCCCCTGTTTTGATAGAATCAATTTCAAATTCAGTAGCACAACTTGAACCCAAAGACTGATAACCGCCAGCAGACTGGTGCATAAAACTGCACGGTTCTGCTCTTTAACAGGTATTCTAAGGTTACTTTTAAGAAAAGTCCAACAATACATAGAAAACAAATGTTCCATATTCCTTTACAGCAAATGGGAAACCACAAGGAACATTTATCTGCCTTAGGAAGACCAAGTGTCTTGACTTTCTTAATGCCGAAAATGAAGTAATGGTGCCAGGGGGTACAAACAGGTTCAGAAGCTCAGATACGTCTGTCAGTAACAGACACAGCAGATCAGATGGCCATCCTGACACTCGTTTAGGGAGAACGTTAACGGTAATCTGCCTGCCTTACTGTAGGGATAAAAAAGACATTTCATCCATTAAAAGCCAAACTTTGAATTTAAAATATCTAAGGGATATGCTAGGAACACAATGGTCTGACTTTCCACCATCCTGAGGCCTATCTACACCATAGAATGTCCAAACACACTCTACCGTTTTCATAAGTTTTCTTAGGAGAGGGTTAGAAAATTTGAACAGCAAAGTCAATTTCAATAAAAAGATTAATTCATCAGCTGATCTGATCGTGCACCACAGAGACAACAATCTCTTCTATGTACGCCATTACGAAGGCTACCGTTCATTCTGTTACGTCAGAATCTGAGTGAATTAAATTTCTTCATACGTAAAAAGATTCCGTGATTTTTAAAATATACCGATATGAGACTTGTTTTGCTGTTTTAAAATTTTTCTTACATTGAACTTTAGCAATTCTTAGAAAAGTGTAGAAGAAATTTATTAATTCTGGAGGAAATGTGGTCTGTGGCTTTTCATGAGACTTTCAGGACAGCTGTGGCATGCCCCGAACCTAAGGTTACAGAAAAGGAGAAACAAGAGAATGAGCAGAGAAGTAACATCCCACAGAGGGTACAGAGATGCCCACAGGCCTGGAGGGATGTAAGAGGATGAGCGATCACACTCTCCTTGTTCTGAATAAAAAGCAGCTTCAACACGTACTTGATTAAAATCTGGGTCTTTTTCTCCATCTGGTTTAGCTTCTTCCTTGTCCTCTTCTGTCTCAGAACTGCTCACATTCAGCTCTGGAGCTGAATCCTTCATTACCTGAATGTGCCGGGATGAGAAAGAAAACCAGGTCAGGGTCAGCACCCAGGAAGGCGGGCTACTGGGATGCACAAACCTGTGGCTTGCAACCTATGTGAGGAAGTCACCTTTCTCGTGGGGAAATAACAGGTGGGAAGGTTGGACCAAGAATCCTATGGTGTGTTTTTTATTCTTTTCATGTTCAGCCCTGCAAATACTCAAATGTATTCAATATTAGACGTCTCTGATGAGCAGGTATTATAAGGCTTGTATAATGTTCTTTAGCAGAAATTCAAAGGCACTCGAAACCTTGTCAGGCCTTTTCAATCAAATACTGATACTGCTTGGGTGATGGGAGTCACAGATCTCCTTAAGAAATGAGAAGGAAAAGCTGGGCATGTCTGCAATCCCGGCTACTATGGACACTAAGACAAGATCTCAAATTCAAGATGAACCTGAGCAACCTAGTAAGACTGACTCAAATGTCAAAAATTAAAAGGGCTGGTGATATAGCTCAGAGGTACAATGCTTGCTTAAACATTAAGTTCTGACTTGCTACCTCAGCATTGCAGAGAGAGACAATGAGAATGAAGGACTATTTCCCTGTACCATTGTGAAGTAGTGATATTAATTTTAAATTTGAGGGCTGGGGATTTAGCTCAGTGGTTCAGTGGCCTGCCTTGCAAGTGCAAGGACCCGAGTTCAATCCCTGGTACCAAAAAAATTAAATTTGAAATATCAACTAAAGTGGATACTATTTCATACAAGATACCACTGTGTACATGTATTAAAGGGTGTGAAAACGATTTGAGGAAACTTCAGGGGAAAGATACTTGTATTCATTAATTTTTTTTTCTCATCAAATTAGGAGACAGGTTTCTGTGCCACAGAACTGTAGATACATACAAGATAATTTTAAGTTGCCCTTGCAAAACTGATAACCAGCAAACAAAATGTATTCTACTTTGTTTTTAAGCCCCAAACCCTGTGATTGATGATGTGGATGGAACTCAGGCAAGTGCCCTCCACCGAAATACATCTGCGGTCATCCCCAGCAAACTTCTGTTTCCATCTGGGCTAGCTATGTTTCCCAGGGAGGTCTTGAAGCCCTGGGCCTGGGATCCTTCTGCCTCAGCTGCTCAAGTGGATGGCACCACATGTCCATTTCACCAGTCCTGGCCAGAGAATTTTCTGTGATTCACCCTATGCTCCTTGGGCACATTAGGCTAACCTCCTTGGCCTGTTTGCTAGAATACTTGTCCCACGCTTCGTCCCTGACAGGGAGTGCTCAGATGATCTCCTCTATGATGACCTCCCTTTCTCCTCCCTCTCTGGCACTGCAACCTTCACTTCCATCTGCCTCTTGCTCTACCCTGCCAGATGCGCTTCATTCACATCCTTGTCCTTGTGTGAAATCCATGCATGGGTGGATGAGCTCAGTCTGTCATACCCATCATTGTGACCCCAGCACCAAGACCATCCTTGGCCCACACCTGACATTCAGATGCATGCATCAAATCGATGACAGGCCAAATCACACACATAACTATTCGCTTTCGACTCTGTCCAATTCTAAGTCTAAGGAAACAAATCTCCAGTCCCAAGCAGTCCAGTGAAAAATACAACAGCAAGTCAAATAGGAAGAGTCACCATTGCTAGTCATGGGAACCAGTACCTTTTTATTGTCTACCACTTTGTGGACGTAGATGGTGGCCTGAGTGTACTCCCGCAGGTCCCTCTGCTGCTGGCAAAGTAGGCCTTCTCTGCACTCTGGACAGAGCTCTAAAACAGTAAAGCACAGGGGGCTGAGGAATCGCTGTTGAAGAACTAAAGGTGGAAACACAGCAGTCACATGTACAGTATGGTGACCGTTCTAAACTGTTCCGTGCAGACATAAATGTGGGGTGACTCATTTACTGTGCACAAGTCACAGACAGTTCCTACCTAGGGAACCCGGGCTGCCATGAAATGACTGCTTTTTTCGGCACTACAGGATGAATCCAGGGGCTTAACCACAGATGAGTCCCAGCCTCATGAGTTTAATTTTAGGCAAATAATACAATATTGACACTCTTCTTTCGCACATCAAATGTCAACTTGGGGGAGGGTACTGGTGATCAAAATCGGGACCTTGTGCTTACCAGGCAGGCAGCCAAACCACTGAGCTAAATCCCTGGCCCTAAATGTCAAGTGTGGAAACCAGATACAATGTTAAAACTTACTAGGTTCAGAAATATACTGTGTTTCTGAAGGGTTTACATCTCCCACTTCAATTCTTGTGATTTTAATTGTATGATCCACAACAAACAGCTTTTGTATCATCTGCCACTCGCTGGGCCATATCAGAGCTATACTGTGCAAGAAAACACAACATGCCTTAAGACACATGGCGATTAAGAACACTAATGAAATCCATCAGCGCCACCAAGCCAAAACAGTATAACCCATTATCTCATGTAAAGACACGGGAGGGTAAAGATGCACTAGCATAAAAGGACTTTTTCCTACAAAGGAATGTTAGAGAAGCTGTTAAAAATAAGGCATGATTAAATAAACATTATTAAACACGAAAACATAAGTTGATGCTAAAATAAGTTAGCTGGAGGACAAATACAGTAAAATGCCATTTATATAAAGTTTTAATATATGACATTTTTATGTGTTTCTTTACAAAGGACTATTTTCTGAGGCAGATAACCTGCAAATTCAGGACAGTGGTTACTTTGAGAGGTACAGGGGAGCCAGGCATGGTGGTGCATGCCTGCAATGCCACTTGGGAGGCTGAGGCAGGACTGCTCTGAGTTCCAGCCTGGGCTACTTAGTTGGGTTCAAGGCAAGACTGAAATAATAGCAAGACACTGGCTCAAAATAAACAGAGGGAGAGAAAGGTAGCAATTGATGAGAGGATAAAATATTCAGAAGCCTTCAGTTAATTTGAATTGTCACTATTAAAAAAACCTGATAGTACGTACACACACAGACACACACCCACACACTTGTTTGTCAGATGTTTCCCTGAATGTACACTTAAAATAACAAAAAGAGCCCTTTGTGGTGGCACATGCCTGTAATCCCAGCACTCAGGAGGCTGAGGCAGGAGGATCACTGGGAGTTCAAGACCAGCCTGGGCTACATAGTGAGTTTCAGGTCAGTCTCAACTACATAGTGAGACCCTGTCTCAAAGAAAATCCCAATATTAACAAAAGGAAGAATGGAAAGAAGGGAGTGAGGGATGGAGAAGAGCTGGGGAAAAACCTAGGAGAACATTATTTTAACTCTTGTGTTACTTTAAACGATCCTAGTATTTGTTTGTTTTTTTGGTGCCGGGGATCGAGCTTGGGACCTTGCGCTTGTGAGGCAGGCAGTGGCACCACTAAGAAGCTAAATCCCCAGCCCAATGATCTTAATGTTTTGAAATGTGAATAACAACGGTCAGGGATTTAGCTCAATGGTGCTGCCACCTGCCTCACAAGCACAAGGTCCCAATTTCAAATCCTAGTACCAAAGGATAAAAAGAAAAGAAATATGGATGGCAAACTGTCATTGAGCTTGGTTCAAAGAGAATTTATTTCCTTTTAAGCACTTGGGATCAAATTCAGAGCTTCACACATTTCGGGCAAGTTCTCTGCTGCTGAGCCACACCCCCAGCCAGGTAATTTCTATGTTCCTTTTTTCCCTCCATGGCTTTCTAGCAATGTTGGAGGCAAACAATGATCTTTTCTTAGACAATTGCTTAACATTATTTTACAAAGTAAAACAGCAATATCAAGGGTAAGGTTCACAGATGAGTCTTTTCGGAGACACTTGAGAGTTGGAGTGAAATTTCAAGACCTTAGAATTGCAGATGACTGGCTCATTTTGGTGCAGGGATCACACTTAGGACCTTGAGCTTGCAAAGCAGGAGGTGGCAACACTGAGCTAAATCCCTGGCCCTCAACTGCTCTCTTATGTTCTTTATTTTCTCAGGCTTGGCAGATGCAGGAATACCAAGACTATTTTGATTTTGTGAATGTGGAACAGAGGTCTGCCTATAGACAAGCTGCTGGCTGCCAGTGGCCTGGGGAGAAGGAGAAGACATGAATGCCAAGGAATGAGCATAAGAAAACAACAGCCTCTCGGGCAGGGATTTACCTCAGTGGTTCTGGTGCCTGCCTCGCGAGCAGAAGGACCCCAGTTTGATCCCCTGCACGCGCGCGCGCGCGCACACACACACACACACACACACAGCCTCGCGCCATGTCTGCAGAAGCAGTCTGTCTGTTTCTTTAAAGACAATTACTCACTCTAATAGAGGACACAAAAGGGGAAAGCTCATGATCCAGTGAAGGACTACTACAATCTTAGAACGGACAGCTTACACTGGGGGGCATTTCTCTAAGCATATCTTATTAAGCATTAGAAACAAAATCACATGAAGAGAAAAAACTCACAGTTTAGAATCTTCTTTGGTCATGGAAGCAAATGTAAACATAAGCCCCCCATGGGGACACAGAAGGGCACTATTTCCAACCGATGACACAGGACTACATCTTGTAGGTTTTCTGTGTATGAGACAAAAGATAAATATAAATCTCACTACTGCAGAAGGGAAGTTTTTAAAATAATTCTTTCAAAATATGGATAGGGGCCGGGATTCAGCTCGGCTGTTCCACCACCTGGCTCACAAGCAGAACATTACCAAGTTTGTTTGATCCCTGGGCCCCCAACAAAACCCCCACACACAAAATAAACAGGAATATGGATAAAAGGATATTAGTAATTAAATATATATTTCTTGCAATTAGCTTTCAGTGCATGACAGTTAAGATAACCAAGAAAGGTCTGGGGATGTAGCTCAGTGGCACTGAGCCTGGCAAGCACAGGGTACTGAGTTCCATCTCCATTCCAAGGAGGAGGAAGAACGGGAAGGAGGGAGGGAGGGCAAGCAAGGAAAAGGGAGGAAGGAAAAGAACAGATGACAAAGAACATCAAGTCCATGACTTCTTAGAAAAAAGTGCAGTCAGCCCCCAAGAGAAATTTCTCATTTCTACCTAACAAATTTCCGCCATTCTTCTACAAAGAACTGTGACACGATGTAGAGGACATCCGTATCCTGGAATACAAAGCACACAAAGGAACACATTAATAACCTCCATAATTCACACTCCCTATGATAAATATGAGGTCTTCCTCCCTCGAAACTTGGAATCAATGGAAACAGAGCACCCTACCAAGTTTAGGTAACTGAACACATAAATAAGATGCTCTTGGCTAGTCTGGAAAAACGCCCCTCATCAGGAATTTGGCAAAGTCATTTTTTTAAAAAAAGTGGAGGATTGATTTCTTCCCTTGTGGGAATCATTATACCTCTGGCCAGTGACTGAGACACGGTCTGTTTTTGTCCTGGAAGAGATTCGGAAGAGAAGTCTTTTGCTCATTTGCGATCATCTTATGTAAGGCTTCGTTTTCTTCCCCTTCTCTTTCTAAGATCTGGGAGAAAATTAAGCAGTCAGCTGTCTCCTGACGACAGGTCATGGCTCGCCGCCTCCTTCCACCCCCATTAGGAGCGCAGGTTTAACTCTCCTGGGAAGTTGCTCAGGGAGGCGGTGTGCCGTTCCACAATGTTGGCACAGAGCTCAGTACCTTGCACTGCGAACAGCATTCTCTGCAACTCGGAAACTCGGGAGCCTTCGGGAAGTACTGTTGCAGTTTGCTCCACGCCTCTTTAGAAACCAGCCTTCTTTCATTTTCAGAGATGCACAATTCTCCTGAGTTTACAAAAGGAATAAGCCGCTTAAAAAAGGAATGAATTGCAAGAGTAAAATGGGTAGGGGAAAAAGTCAGTATCTCATACTTCTTAAACACAAAAATATTTCCCCAAATCTATTTCCTGCATAGTACTTCTTAGATTGGTGAAAAATCCTAAATGTTCTTTTTCTCCTTATTTCCAATAGTCTCTTTGGTTTGTTCCTGGTTCCTTATATACATGAGCACATACAGAGAAAAATTCTCTAAGTGTCTAATTTCATTGTAATTCTAAAGAAGAAAGCTATCAATATCAATCTTAACTCCTTAATCTAAGGTTGAGGCTACAAAGATTCAAGAGACGAATAATGCTACTAATGCCCACCTAGTCTATTCTCAGACTATCTCAGGAAAATTCAAGATCATAGAAGGCTACAATCACATAGCCCCTCCCTAGTTTACAATTTTTAAAAAGTGTTTCTTTGCTTGTTTGTTTGTACCAGGGATGGAACTTGGGACCTCGGCACCACTGAGTATAAATCCCCAGCGTGTTTGTTTGTTTTGAGACAGGATCTTACTATGTACTCCAGGTTGGTCTCCAACTTGTGGCAATCCTCTGGTGCCGGGATTACAGGTGTGCACCCCATGCCCAGTTGACTCACTATTTACTTAGGTACAATGAACTTCACTGCACATAACCTGAGGATCACAATGATGACTGTCCAGGATCTCCATGAAATGCAAAAAAAACAAAGCTGGCTCATGAAATTCGGTCTGTTTAATCTACTCCCTGTAATTTCTATTACCTCAACAGTACAGCTTCTTAACTTTTAATATTTCCTCTTGTTTGAATAATCTCAAAAAATTAATTTTACCTTAATAAACTTATTACCAAGGAAATCTGGGTCATAATACAATTTTCCTTGTAAAGCTATTCATTTAAATTTCCTTGGAGGCCATGAACACTTACTCCAACATGCCTATCCTCAGATATAAATAAGACATCAAAAAAGGGAATAAATTTAATTGGATTCTTTAACCCCATGAGTACATCCTTATGGAGAAATACAATGTAGGCACAGGTAGATTTTCATGACCTAATTTAGCACAAAGGACTCCATGACAATTACTGTATAATATTTGAGTAGTTTACCTTTTTTTTCTGGAAGCAGTGGGCTGGAGTTGTAGCTCCTTGGCAGAGCACTTTTCTAGCATAATCAAGGCCCTAGATTTGATCCCCAGAACCATGGGTGTGGAGAGGTTGATGCACAAAGACCTCAATTTCAACGGCAGCCCATTCAACTTAGTGAATCAATCTAATGTGAAAACCACCTAAACGGGGCTGGATATGTAGGTCAGTGTAAAGGCCCTAGGTTCATTCCCCAGTATCAAAAAACATGAAAGAGGACTGTTTCCTTATATGTGTGTGGTACAATTCCATTTGATTCAAAGAAGAGAGAAAATGAAAGGAACAATAATACAAGCACAAATGACTTAATAGGTAAGTCAGCAGAGGGGCTACGGATAGTAGCTCAGCGCTTGCTTAGCACAGGTGAAAACCTGGGCTGGACACACAGCACCCCCCCCACCCAATAGGCAGAGAATTCCACAAGTACTGTGGGGATACCTATCACGTACGAATTTGTAGAGATTAGAATTGCTCCCAATAAATAACATTTTTAAATTGGAAAAGAGAAAGTCAATTTAAATTCACAAAATCAACAGTATCTTCAAAAAGAGCGTAAACCAGCCAGGGATTTAGCTCAGTGGTACCGCCACCTGCCTCACAAGTGGAAGGTCCTGAGTTCAATCCCTAGTACCAAAAAAAAACAAAAACAAACGATCAGGATAGCTTTAATTCACCAAACGTAATAGTCTAATGATGAAAACAGTCTTCCAGTAAGCACAGAAATCAACTTAGCACTGAGTTCGGAGTCTGGATAAACAGGCCATTTACTACCAAAACCCAGTCCAAACTGCAGCTGATTGGGTCACAGAGCATCTGAAAAAGGGAACCTTAAAAAAAAAAATCTGTGCTCCTACTGAAGAGCCATTGAAAATGTAATTCAACACGAACATTTTCAAATGACAGCTATGCTGGTGTATAACTATTCCTTGCTGTTCTAGGATTGCTTGTTGGCTTAAGCAGTTTGCCGCCAGTCTGGGTGACACTGCCACAATATATCCAAAAACAAGCCAAAAGGAATTACAGATACAAGCGGTGGTGGTGGTGGGTGGCACTCAGGGACATAACTCAGGGTCTCACCTAAGCCAGCAAGTGCTGTATCACTAAGCTATGTCCTCCCAGCCTGCCAGAAGTGATTTTTAAAATCACATTTATGTAGGGTTTTACCAGCATGCACGTACAAGATCAGCACTCTGGGAGGCTGTTGCATGAGGAACTCAAGTTCAAAAGTAAATCACAAGGATCACAGGCCAGCCTCGGCACCTCAGAGACTTAGAATCTATCTCACATTGGAGAGACTTTACATCATTTTGAGTGAAAAAGGCGGGAAGCCCTCATACAACACCAGGTGGTAGAAACTAACAGCTGCATAGGGTAAGAGGATGGAAACACCAAGCACAGCACAGTACACAAAACCAATTCTTCTCCCCAGATCCAGTTAGGCTAACAAAATGCCTATTTATGATATGGTGCAGTCCGCCGAACAACAGGTTTGTGATTCCAGCTTACCGTGTGGACACAGAATGTCTTCATTAAAGTTTAATTCTTCCTCCTCTTCTTTTCTTTCTTCCTTTGATTCATCTAAAGAAAAGCAGATGATAATTGCTCTAATTATTGCATCGAGAAATTCAAGCAGCATGTATAGTACTCCACAATTTGTTTTGCTTTGGTATTTATTTGTTTGTTTGTTTGTTTCCTAAGGGTCTAGCTGTGAAATTCAGACTGACAGTAAACTCCTACCCTCCTGCCTCAGCCATCTCAATACTGAGACCACAGCTGTGCACCACCATGTTCAACTTCTTTTGATATTCAGAGACATGGTCAGCTCAAGCTGACCTGAAAGCTGACATCAACCTGCCGTAACCTTTCACAGTGCTGGGATCACCTGCGAGCCCCACCTCAACTAGCTATTCCATTGTGAAAGTGAGATCCAGATGATTCCTCTGCGGTTCTGCTAGGTGTTTTAATTTTTTTCCCTTAAAAGGAAAGAAAAGCGCCTCTGTGACATTTAACTTGAAGATTTAGGTTATGCAAGAAAATGTGCCTTTTTGTGCAGATTTAAATATAATTTCCATGTCGTTCTAATTTCATAAACCAAAGTCAGTCATCTTCATGTTGTGTCATTTTTACCTATGTGCTTTAGTAAAGGCTCAACAGAAGCTCTAAGGCATTAAACTTTAATGGGAAACATTACACAGAATGAGACTGTGGCTTTTTGCATTAACATTTTCCTTCTATTTTCTGCTTTTCCTAAGTTTCCAGTATGTCACTCCCATTTGTAGTTTTGTGTAACAGGAACACAAAATCTGAGAGATTAAGGCAGTTATCTGTGGGTTTTCCAGATTAAGCACCCTAACACATCTTTAAAGCAAATAATATATTCAAATAGCATTTACTAACCACTGAAAATGCTCAACTACAGGTGAGGTTGTAGCTCAAGGACAGTACTTGCCTGGCATGTACAGGGATTTAGCTTAAATTCTCAGTAATGCAAAAACCACATGTGGCCAAACCATCCCATCCCCATCCATCTGTGTCAACAACACAAAAAGACAACTTCTCAAATGAGGACATAACCAATAGTTTTGGAAAACCTAGGTCTCAGCACTGTTTATTCATTTTCATGTATGAGTGCTCAAGACTGGTGACCGATATATACTCTACATCACATAACAGCATGACGAAAATAAGGCTTTGATGTATTTTCTAAAGGAGACCAATATGCACCAAGGTGTTTCATCATGTAACAATTATAAATCAGCTTAAGTCTGACACAACTTTAAAGAATTTCATCTGAAATAGTCTGAAAAATATGCAAAGAGGTAGGTGCAAGAACACCCAAGGAGGCTCACTGAATGTGAGCCACGGCGTACAAGCTGAGATAAGCATTTAGATTAGTGTAGGATATCTACACAAAAAAATGCACCACTCCACAAAAAGAGCCGAATATTTTGCCAGAGAGACAAAGCTGTGCCTTCTATGAGCTCCTTCATAAAAAGCCACTATACTCGGGGATTATGTCTCGTGGGAGGGCTGTTCAAGTTCTTGCATTGTTACATGTCCACATCTTAAAGCTTTTAAAACTTTTGAATGAGCAAAGGAGACCAGAAGCATATTACCCTGAAAACATGAAAAATATTTTTAAAACCAGGCCAACATGAAGGCACTTTCTTTTATGGTATCCAACTTTACCTAAAATGAGGAAACACAGAGGCTCTAAACAGCAGCAAATAAATACTTCTTGCACTAGCCCACACCATACCACTACAACTGCAGTATCATCTTGCAAATGGCAAGACAATAAAGTGACAGTAATGCTAGGCTCACAAATTATACAGTGTAACAAAATATTAAGGAAAACTTACTAACCTAAAAAACTAAAAACATAGCTCAGAAGGCTAAGGGTGCTACACAGTGGTAGAGCATGGTCTTGGCATGCATAGGCCCTGGGTTTAATCTCCATCACCAAACCAAACCAAGAACACAGATCAAGCATCTTAAGATTAATAGTCCCTCAGCTGGTCGTGGTAGCGTACGCCTGTAATCCCAGCACTCCCCAGGCTGAGTCAGGAGGATCGCTGTGTGTTTGGAACCAGAAATGGGCTATACAGTGAGTTCCAGGTCAGTTTCAACTACACAGTGACACCCTGTCTCAAAAAACTCAGAACAAAACAAAGATTAATAATACCTTGGTATATATAATTTCCTTAAAAAGTAGGGTGTTGACAAGGGAAGGTCAAAACCCAATAATTATGTTTAATATGTAAGTCATAAAATGCGCAAGTGTCAAGAATACAGAGTAGGGCCAGGGATTTAGGTCAGTGGTGCCACTGACTGCCCTCACAAGGTCCTGATTTTGATCCCTCGCACCAAAACCAAAACAATCCCCCCATTACTTCAAAAAGTTAGGAATACTAAAGTACAGGAGAAAAAAATACAGGAAAGGCTGAGGCAGGATCGCTGAGTTCGGTCAGCCTGACCCATGCAGTGAGTCCAAGGCCAGCCTGAAATAATGAGATGCCTGTATCAAAAAAAAAAAAACCAAGCTTGGGGCCTGGTACTTGGCTCAGTGCTTCAGCCACCTGCAAGGTTACCAGTACCAAAAAAAAAGAGCGGGGGGGGGCGGGGAGGCGGGCGGCTATGTATCTCAGTGGCATCATGCCTGCCTCAGAAACAATCCTGAGCTTGATCCCTGGTTCCACAAAAGCAAAACTAAACAAAAAAGCAAAACCAAACACACCCAAGAAATTAATATAAGTTGGGTGTACTCACATTGGCCTCTAAGTCCAGCACTGATAAAATGAGGGAGGAGGATCTAAGTTTGAGCCCAACCTGGACAATTTAAGACCACCTAAAAAGGCTATGGCCGGGCAGGGTGGCGCACATCTGTAATCCCGGCACTGGGGAGACTGAGGCAGGAGGATCACTGAGTTTGAGACCAGCCTGAGCTACATAGTGAGTTCCAGGTTAGTCTCAACTACATAGTGAGACCCTGTCTCAAAAAAAAAAAAAAAAAAAAAGCCTAAGCATATATATATAGGTCAGTTCAAAGGCCCTATTCCCAGTGTCAGGACAGAAACAGGGGGGAAAAAAAGGATGGAAGCAAGCAAATAAAATAACATGTGTATGTAAATGCCAGTAAGGCTGGGAAAATACAGCGGACCCTCAACAGCCTTATGTACAAACAACTTGGGTCAATTAGGTTTCATCTGCCTCTGGTTATCTATAGCATGGAGCAGGTAAACATCTAGATCTCATTAACTCAGCCAACTTGAGGTACAGCCAGTTCTCTGGCACCAAGTGAGTTCCTGAGTCAAGGGTGCACTGCAGTCAGTGGTGAGGGATAGAGAGAATGAATGAATGGTAGAGAAAAGAAAAATGGGAAAATTTTGTGTTTAGTGAGATGCACGCTCATGGGTCGCTAAATAAGGGTCGTAGGACTGCTGCACAGAGGTAACTAACCTCTGAATAAGTCGGCCTCAAAGGAAATCACTGCTCTGCCTTTCAAACCCTGTTTGTGGTCCTGGGGATAGAGCTAAGGCTTCCATCCTGCTAGCTCCACTAAGCTATGTTCCCTGCCCTCCATTTTAAATCTCAAAATAATTTTAATGTCTTGATCTCTTGTAATCCCTTAAAGGAACTTTATAAAACTAAATTTCCTATCAGACCTAAAAATGTTTAACTTGTAAGCACTAAAACAAACCAACGAACTAAATTTAGTAGTTGATTCATAGTAACAATTTATGAGCCAAAAGCAGGGGCACTTAACTCAGGCACTGCCAAATAACTTGGAAGGAAAAAGTTATCCTGGGTGATAAGCACCCAATGCACCTGACCTGCATGCAGAAGAAGGCATCCTGTCAGTGTGGGCAGAAGTCCTGAGCTTGCAATGCATTGTGTGGTTTGCAGCAGACTAACCTCTCCCAAAGGTTTAGGTGGGAGTAGAGTATTAATTTTGCATGTGACTAACTACATACAGCTTGAGCCCAGAAACGAACTTAGTTATGAAGGAGAATTTCAGATGGGAGCTGAAAAGTCTTCGCTGCATTTCAATACCTTAAAAATATTTTTTATTTGCCTTTAGCTAGTTGAGAGCTTCCGGTTTAATAAAGGACGTGTTTATAACTACACAGGTGCAAAACCAATTTTAAACTTCAGGGTAGATTTCCTATGCACAGGTTACCTTTACTGAAGGAGTTGCCGTTCATTTTCCCATTGCTTTGGTCTGCATCGCCATCTTGCTCATCTAGTTGTTCAAGAGCTAGCTGGCGCCAACTCCGCAAGGATGATTTGCCCACCCAAAATCCATCATCACTGTGGAAGAGAGGAATGTCAGAGCATACAAGTAATGTTTCCTAATGTTCTCCCTTCTATCCCTGGAAAGATCGCTGACAAATGAAATTGCTAAAACTTAAAAACTGTGCATACTGCATCTTTTGTTTCTTGAGAAAGGGTTTCCCTACGTAGTTCAGGCTGGCCTTGAACTCTGTGTACTCCCGCCTGGGCAAATGTTTCACCACACCCAGCAGCACTGGGTTGTTTTTGGGGGGGTGCACTTCCTGGCTGTGGCCATTCTCACTCTCCCTATTGAACTGCAGGTATCTATCATTTTGAGTGCTTGTTTGGAGGTTTTAGGGCTGGGGATTTAGCTCAGTGATGCTGCTCCCTGCCTCATAAGCACATGGTCCTGAGTTTGATCCCCGGTACCAAAAAAATGTATATAGAGGTTCTTGGTGTGGGGTGGGAGGACAGTGACCTACTCCTGTGCCCTCGGTGAAAGAAGGTTGTCGTCTTTGGACAAGAATGAAATCAAGCCCATGTAGATAAAGACCTTATACATTTAATACAGTGCATTACCCCTGTACAAATGGAAAAAAAAAATAACATTTCTAGACCAGTATGGCTGTTAATTCCTGTACAATGCCAGCTCAACACAGTAAACTGGGATAACTTTTTCCAGAGTTGACAGCACAATTAAAGTTTCCAAAAATTCAAATTATATATCCCTCCCTTTAAAAAAAAATTTTTTTTTTAAAACAGAATCTTGTTAAGTCACTAAGTGATCCAGAGCTCAATTTTGGGATCCTCCTGTCTCAGTCTTACAGAGTGCTGGGGCTATAGCATGTGGCACCTTTGCCTGGGTTATAGTTGTACCTGTAGCTGGGCACAGCGGTGCTCAGATAAACACACGTATCCCATGTTTAGGACATGCAGGAGGCTGTTTAAGGAACTGTCCAAAGTAGCCAGCTATATCTTTTAGAGAATAAGTAAATGAAACCCAGATATGGCAAATCCCATCCATTCCTGGGTTTGGAGGTACTCTCTGGAGGGGGTTCACCACATTCCACACTCCCTGGACATTTCTGGTCAGGATGTTACGCTGGGTTCCATTTGTTAACACACCTACTTCATTCAACCTCAGCAGTGTGCACCCACAGGCTCACCGTGATGTTTTTCCAGAGTACAATTCCATGCAACAGCACAGGGTTATACTCCCTTAATGTGGTCATACATCAGATCCACATTCTGCTTTTTCTTCAAGTTCCTTGGTTGTTACCTCTTTAAAAATTTTTTCAGCTGATCTCCAGCGCCTGCCTCACAAGCAAGCGCAAGGTCCTGAGTTCAATCCCCGTCACCACAAAAAAATTTTCAGTGTATATCATCAGCAAGGTAGGATGTGCAACATACCCCTTTCCTGTTGCTTTTAGCAGATTATTGACCATTTTATAATCTTCATTTAGCTGGTTCTTCAGACGCAATACACGACAACGCTCTACTACACATTCCTTACACAGTGCTTTCACTAAAGGAAAAAGAAAGTGAATTACGCTTCCCTTCACACAGACTTCCTGTCAGTGAACAGTTTGACTTCTTCAAAGTCAGACCAATGATTGAACAGCCTCGTACAATTGGACAGAGCACAGCAAAATGGTATCAATCTGGAATTGTTCTGGTGACTTAGCAAGACTGTGAGGTACGTAATAAGGAATCCACCCAAAAAGGAATGATAAGGTATGCAAAAATTATATATTATAAAGTTTACATGAAAATTCGGTAAGATGGTAACAAAATGATTAAAGGGGGGGTGGTGTCCAGAATACCAGCCAACCATCAATGTCCATGTGGAAGGGATCCTTAAAGTAGGGGAGAAAACTGAAGGGCAAGACTGAAAAGGCATGGAAGCTCTAGATATCATTTAAAATATGATAATCTGGAAGACTTTCCTATTGCTTGCTTTACGGTGAACTTAGAATGGAAGTTTAGAAAGCAGAACTGTACATGAGAAAGGTCGAAGCATGTAGTTAAAGGCCAGTTTTACTGAGGCAGGCAAATTACCCAGGACCAGAAGAAAGTATTTAACTCTGGAGATACATGGTAGGAACATGGATTTTCCCTAGTTGCCTCTACAGACTGAAGTGACACCTGTGTTGCGAGTTTCTCATTAAACATTAAAAAATGTTTAAACAGGTAGCCAGAACCAACTAGACTATAGATAATTTGTGGGGTGTTTGTCTTTTTTTTTTGGAACTGGGGATCGAACTCAGGTCTTTGGACTTACAAGGCAGGTGGTGGCACCACTGAGCTAAATCCCTGGCTCCACTTTGTGGTTTTATATATAGCTGTGTGTATTGAAGATAGAATCCAGAGCCGGGCGTGGTGGTGCACGCCTGTAATCCCACCAGTTGGGAGGCTGAGGCAAGAGGACTGCTGTGAGTTTGAGACCAGTCTGGGTTACATGGTGAATTCCAGGTCAGTCTCAACAGGATAGTGAGACGCTGT